TCCCTCTCCCTCTCCCTCTCCCTCTCTCTCTCTCTCTCTCTCTCTCTTTTTAAATAATTCAGTCCAGCCAGGAGTGGTGATACATATCTGTAATCCCAGTCCTCCAGGAAACTGAAGGAGGATCACAAGTTGTGACCAACCTAGGCAATTTAGCGAGACCCTTTTTCAAAATAAAGAAAAACAAAAAAGGCTGGGGATGTAGCTTAGTGCTGAAGGCCCTTGTTCAATCCCTAGTACTGGGGGTGGGGTGGGGAAAGGAAGGAAGGGAAGGAGGGAGAGAGGGAGAGAGAAAGAAAAAGAAAAGAAAAAAGAAACCAGCCAATCAACCACTGGATTAGAGGTGTAGCTCAGTGACAGAATAGAGTGCTTGCTTGCCTAGTATTCATGAGGCCCTGAGTTTGATCTCTAGCACCGTAAAAAGGGGGAGGGGGAGAAACAGATCACTACCCACAGCCCAGAAACATGCAGTCACAACTCTTCTGTTGCTACTAGACCAGTGTTTTCTGTGTGAAATCGTATTGTTACAGACAGCTAAGTTAGGTGGAGAAACTATAGACAGACAGGGCTGGGCCCTCGAGGGAATCCATGCAGAGGAGGAGAACACATCATGAACTGTGGCTGGAGGTGCATCTGTTGAAGGCCAGGTCTCACGATAAAGACAGAATAATCAGGTCTTCGTGCCTCCCCAAGGGATAGGCAATAAATTAAAGATTATACTATAACTGGTATTACTACCAGGACCTCCTGATCCATCCCTTCCTAAAAGGTCTTTGTTCTTTCCATGTACACTTGCTATGCGACCTGCTTCCCCATTGGATCAATATTACCTAAATGTCTATACTTGTAATCTTATTGGTTGATCATAGTTTTGACCCACATTTTACCCATTTGGTGATTTTGTACCTACCTCATGATTTCGCTCTATAAAACTTCCTCTGAGAAGTGGGCTTGCTGGCAAGCCACTTTCAGGTCCCCTCCTGTCTCTCAGGATCTCTCTCTCTCAATAAATGTTTCTTACTCTTAACCTCTGTTGTTCCTTAGAATTCTTTTTCAATTCCGGGGAAACAAACTTGGCACATCCGACATCTAGCAGATTGGGAGTCACATTTATTTCCCTTCTGTCAATATGGTGAGAAGTCTGTGTGGCTGCCTTAGCGCAGCATTGTTTGTGAGCCTGAACAATCTGTTAAAAACAGATCATCACACTTTGCTCTTCAAAACCCTGCTACAGCTCCTGGGGATGCGCTCCCAAACTCGGAATAAAACTCAGGTTCCTAACCGCAATTCTCAGGCGTGATTTCCCAGCACCCTCCTGGATATTGACGCCATCCCGATTGGAAGGTCCTCCTCGCTGTTCCTGTACATGGCCTGGCCTTGTTTTTGTCCTCAGGGCCTTCGCAATCAGTGTCTTCTCTGACCACAGTACTCTTTCCTCAGATAGCTGTGTTTTTCCCTCCCTTCATGCAGGTCTCCGGTCACATGTCACCTTCTCTGCGAGGCCTTCCCTGACTGCTCTGTGTAAAGTTGCTAACTCAATCCCACTCTGATTTATTTTCATCGGAATACTTTTTCTGTACCTAACATTATTATATATTTGGTTACTGTATTCCTTCCATGTTGAGAAAATAGCTCCCAGCTGAGACTTCCTCTTGTTTTTCTTGGTGCTCCAGTATCCAAAATGGTGCTCTATCCAGAGTAATATCTCGCTCTTTTTAAATTATTATTGTTGCTGATGTGTGACACTGGGATTGAACCCAGGGCCTCTGCACTCAGGTACATCTCAGCCCATTTTATTTATTTTATTTTGTGACAAGGTCTCTCAGATTTGCAGGCTGGGCTGGGCTTGAACTCATGATCCTCTTGCTCCAGCTTTCCAGACTGCCAGGATTACAAGCATGCGCCGTTACATCCGGTTTCACTCTCCTGTGTGAACAAATTCGATTTCCTTTAAGCAAAGTGGCTCCCCGTTTCCGGAGCGCAGGCATCCTCTCTGCATAGTAGGCGTGATCATTCTGATCTGCGGGGGTTGTAGGAGGTAATCGGTGTGCAAGGCTCTGCTTCTTGGTTCTCACCCGCAGGTGCCCCTGAAGGACTGGATGGAAGAACGGGACGCAGCTTCCTTTGAGCTGACCCCTGAATTCTTTAGTCCTCGCCACTTCAGTGACCTGGATGCTCACATCGAACATGTGGTCCAAAACCTGAGATGGAGATACCAGAGGAGCCTGCAGGAAACCTGGGCCCAGTGCCTGTTCTGTCCACAGTGTCTGTGTCGGAGCTCGCCGTGGAGCGCCTGCACCCCCTCTGAGCCCATCTTCGGCATCCCCTCCCTTTCCAGCACCTGTCTGCTTCCTCAGAACAGTTCCTGGTATCTCAGGGACCGCCAGCCTCACTCTGCCCTGAGCACTCGCCAGAGGATAGAGCGGCTGGGGGTTCGGTCCCAGGAGGGGTTGTGGCCCCTGGAACACAACATCAGCAGGAGGGCCGGCCCCACCTCCATGACCTTAACCATCTCTCTCCCGGACCTCCCTGCAGTTTCGAGGCTGCAGGTCTTTCCCAGAGAGTCCCTGCATGGTCCTTCCAAGCAGCACCCGGGAATGCTCACCTGGAAGGCGTGGGCGAGCTCACAAGAGACCTGGACAACACAGCGTGACATTCAGACAGTAGGCAGAGAACACAGCGGAGAGAACCAGGCTTCTGGGTGGAGGACCCAGAGAGAGGGCAGAGAGATCCAGGTTTTCCAGGGCCAACTCCCAACAGACTCTGGAATAGGGGACAGCGCAGAGGCAAAGGCCCTGGGGTGCGGAAGGCAGAGACTGGGAATCAGAGAAACCGATGGAGAAAACCTGACACCAGAGTGGGAGAGCCGGAAGGGAGTAGAGGATAACAGCCCGAGCTGAGGAGCTCGGGAAGAAGACGCACAGGGCAGCTGGAAATAAGTGTCCTCCTGAAACCCAGGCCTCTATGGGGGAGAACCAAGCACAGCCAAGATGCAAAGCTGATGTGGAGACCCAGACTCCAGAGTGGGGGTCCCGGGATAAGAGCAGAGGTGCTGCTGCTGTGGAGACATAGACATATGATGGGGAGAATCAGAAAGAGCCCAGAGAAGAGGAAGAGGGAGAAATCCAGGCCCAAGGACTAGAGAAGCAGGGCCACCACGGAGAGGGCAAGGGTGAGGAGGCCCTGTCTGCAGAGCAGAGGAAACAAAACCAGATGACAAGTGATATCGGTGCAGACACAGAGGTCAAAGAGGAGAGAAACAAGGGCCAGGCTGGAAGCGGGGAGGCTGTGCAAACCCAGACATCTGGGGGAGAAAGTCAGGAAGTCAAACAACAGAATGGTGCAGAAACCCAGTCCCGGGAGTGGGGGAAACAGGAGTGCATCGGAAATGAGAAAGTTGCAGAAACCCAGACACCAGTGCAGGAGAAGCAGGATCGGGGTGAAAGCAAGAAAGCCGGGAATACCGACTCTCACAGGGGAGAGGACCAGAGATTGTCAAAACGCGCTGTTCAGGTGGGGTGGGAAACCCTAGACCTGGAAGGGGCGAGGATGCAGAGGAACCTCAGATATCTAGAAAGAAGCAGTTCAGGGAGATAAGAGAGAAGGATTGGGTGGTGATCAAGTCACCCTGGTGGGGAAACCGGAGACTAGTGGTGAGCGAACTGAACAGAGAATTGAAGACACCGTGTCAGGGGAACCAGAACCCGGCTGGAGATGAAAACAGAGCAGAAATCCAGGCAGCAGAGGAGAGTGAGCAGAGAAAGGGTGGAGATGAAGATGGTACAAACACCCGGGTGCCTGAGGCGGAGAACCAGGGAGAGTTCAGAGGGGACAGTGACGTGGAGACCCATCTAGCAGGAAGGCTGAACAAGGAGTGCTTTGGGGATGGGAGCGGAACTGATATTCAGGCACCAGGGAAGAGAAACCGGAGTGAGGTCAAAGGGGAGGATGGTGCAGAGAGCCAGGAAGTTGGGGAAGAAAGTCAGGGTCAGCTGGGAAATGAACTTCATAGAAAGAGTTACCTTCCGAAGTGGCAGAATCAGGAACGTTCTAGAGGCAAGGAGGGTGCACATATTCAGACATCTGAGACAGGGAACTGGGGAGAATTAACTGATGGAGAAACTCCGTCGGCAGGGTGGGAGAATGGGGGAAAAAACCAAGTAACAGCAACGAGAAACTTGAGAGAAGCTGGAGGGGAGGCTGGTACAGAGGCAGGGGCAGCTGGGGAGGGAAGCCAGAGCCGTGCAGGATGTGACGTGGACCGGAAGAGCCATTCGTCAGAGTGGAGGAATCAGGAACAGAGGAGAAGTGAGGATGGAGTGGAAATTCAGGCCCCAGAGAAGGGAAGACAGATAGTCGCTGGAAGGAAGGACGGTTTAAGGACCCAGAGGCCTGAGAGAGAGAACTGGGGAGGACTCGAGAGTGAAATTGGAGGGTGCTGTTCTCTAGGCAGGGGGAGCTGGGAACAGACTGGAGGAGAGAACATGGCCGAAAATCAGGCATCAAAGAAGAGAAATCAGAAAGAGGCTGGAAGGGAGTGTGGTGGAAGGTTCCAGAGACTTACAAGTAGGAAACTAAGACTGTTGAAGAGCAGAGTCAGTGGAAAGGGCTGTTCATCTGAATGGAAGAATCAGGAACAGACTGGAGGTAGGAATGGTGTGAAAATTCAAATACGAGGGGAGAAAAACCCGAGAGGGATGACAAGTGGTGATGGCGCAGAGTCCCGGGCACTGGTGAGCGGTGGCCATGGACAGCCTAGAAGGCGAACTGATGGAGAGACCCGGAACACGAGTGCAGCTGAGCACGCTGCAGAAATCTGGGGTGTAGGCAGCCAGAGAAAATGCCGACCTGAGGACGCTACAGCGTCTCAAGCACTGAGGCATGGAGATGAGGGTCAGGTCAGAGGAAAAGGTGCTGCCAGGGCCCAGCTCCTCAGTGACTGCTGTAGGGGTGAGGGGCCCACAGGCAGAAAGTGCAGCCCGGCACAGTCCACAGCTCTCCTTGGCTTTGGATGTTGGGCCTCGGACCAGGAACAGGCAGCCGCTGTAAATGGTGGAGATCCTGCTGCCTGTTCTGAGATGAAGTCTTGCCCCGGCTGGGATGGGAGTTTCCTGCTGGCCGGTGGGGAGGGAGAGCATCTGGCCAGATGGGGTGCAGCCCCTGCCAGCGAGTGCAGAGCAGCTGTCAGCCCAGCATCTCAGCGGGCCCCACCTGGATCCCAGAGAAGAAGGCCAGGGGACAAAAGGGTAGATCCAGCAAAGGCCTCCAGCCTGACACAGCAGCCCAGGAACCCACAGTCTCTAGGTGTGCCCTGTGCCTGCTCCTCTCTCCCATCTGCCCAAGTGCCCCATGCTGCTAGAGCCCTGGCATGCGCCCCCACTGTCTCTCCCAAGCAGCCAGTCCTCAAGAAGAGCAGACGGCTGCTCCTAGAGTCTCTCATGCGACGGAGGATCGCACACCTGAAGTGGGGCCTCCCTCGGAGGATCCTGGAGTCGTATCTGCTCTTTAGCTTCCTAGGCCCTTGCTCAGTGCCCCGGCCTGGATTATGCAGAGACCGGGAGGTCCAAAGTGAGCAAGAAGAGCATTGTAGAGCCCAGGGATCCACACCACGCCTTAAATCTTCAAAGGAGCCTCAAAGGGTTCTACTCTCCGAAATAAAAAAGTCAAAACTTCCCACACAGGCCAGGGTGCTGGAGAAGAGCAGACCGCAGAGGTCAGCACTAACAGGCATTTCCACGCCCCCTCAGAAGCCCAGGAGAGCAAGGCCACCAGGGGGCGCCAGAGAACTACAGATCCAGCAAGCGAATCCCGCGGCCAGGCTTCCAGCTCCCAGGAGCCACAGCCCTGCAGAGCCTAGGAGCTGGTGTGGCCCAGGAAGTGTGGGAGAATCTTCCAGTGGGAACAGCAGAGGCAGGACAATGATCAGGCCAGGGGTCTCCGAGATAGCAGAGAGGGATCCCAGCAGAGCAAGGACTTCACCTTCCAGGGCCGGCCGCAAGCCCTGGAAGGAGCAAAAATCTGGGCCTCTGAGGCCCTCCGACTCAAAAGTGAGCTGCCCACCTGCTGGGCAAAAGGAAGCCCTGAGGCCGCGCAGGGTGGAGGGCCTGGGCAGCAGCCTCCCTCCTGCTCCTTAGGCACCTCCAGCTTCAAAGGGAGTCTCTACTCTGCCGGAGCAAGGCTGCGCATGACCCTGCTGAGCAAGAGGTCCCGGGGCTCACAGCTGGCCAGGCCCCGGCCTTTGGCCCCTAACCTGAGCCTGAGGGGTCCAAGTCTGCTTCCCAATGTGGGTGATTCACACGCAGAGGAGGGCGCCATCGGAATCAGAGCTGCTTTGAAGCCAGACCTTCAGCCCCCAGGGCTCTGCTGGGCTGGAGCAGCTCTGCCTGGGACAGGGAGCTGCCAAGGTCAGGGGGCCTGGTGGAATCCCACAGCTGCTCCCCGAAGGTTTCATTTTATGAAGCATTTGCAATGTTTTTTCTTTCAACGTGGCATTAAAAAGTAGGGCACAGGCCCAGAGTCCTTAGAACATGTGAGTGGCCCACTCAGCCCCAGCCTCTAATAAAATTGGTTATTTGGGCCCTGCAGGGTTCAGATTTCTTGGTGTAGGTTTTCTGAATGACACCTTTTGAGGTTTGCAATACTTTATGGGTGGAATAGAAGTCTCTTCTATCCTGTTTTGGATTTGAGGAATGTGGATTGGCCCAGTGTCATCTTCTAAAGACCGCTGTTCCCCATCTGGGTCTTCATAGTAGAACCCACTGAAGTTCCTATCATGGTTCTTTTTTGGGGGACCTTTTAGTCCCGCTATGTATTTCAAGCTGGCCTTGAATTTACTATGTAGCGCAAGCTGGCCTCAAACTCCTGGCAATACTCCTGCCTCAGCCTCCTGAGGGCTAGAATAATAGGGGTGCATCACCACACCCAGCTCCAGGCTGGGCTTTAACTTGCAATCCTCCTTTCTCAGCCTCCCAAATAGCTGGGATTACAGGCATGCACTACAGAGCCTGGCTAAAAAAAATATTTTTTATTGTGGTAAAACAGAACAAAATTTACCTTCTTAACCATTTTTTAAAATGTTTATTAGTATGTGTTTGCAATATGTAATGATGACATTCCTTGTGCGGCGTACATAACACATCTTCATTTTTTTTCTACCCCCTTCCCCTCCCCGGCCTCCCTCTTGACTATTGTAAGTGTACAGTTCAGTGTCATTCATAATGTGCGGCCATCACACCATCCCCCTCCAGAATGCTTTTCATCCTGTGCAGCTGAAACTCCATACCCACTAAACGAGGACTCCTACACCCTCCTCCTGTGCCCCTGGCAGCCACCTTTTTGCTTCCCATCTCTAGCATTGTGACTACACAAAGTACCACGTACATGCAGATTCATATCGTCATTGTCTCTTTATGACCAGCTTATTTCAAGCAAACAAACGTGCTTTTAAACCTTTTTGGTGTATACCCAGAATTAGAATTGAGTGTTATATGTTTAATGTTATTTTTAGTCTTTTTGAGGAACTACCATACTGTTTTCCCCAGTGTCACTACCATTTTACATTACCACAACATAGCATAGTTTCCATTGTTTCCAAATTTTCACCCACGTTTGTTTGTTATTTTCTGTTTTTGTGTGTGTGTTTTTTTGGTATCGGGGATCGAACTCCGGACCTTTTGCTTGCAAAGCAGGCAGCCACATCACTGAGCTAAATCTCTGGCCCTATTAATTGATGGTCTTGTGATGCAAAAAAGTTAAAATTTTCCTGAAGTCCAATTTATCTATTTTTGCTTTTGTTGCTTTATCTTTTCTATTTTCAAATTCATTACAAAAGTCATCTATGCTTATTATAATAAGCATATTATAGAGTTTAGAAAATTCAGAAAAGGAAAAAAGATCATAAACATATCACCAAGTTAATGTTTTTGATATATTTTCTTCCTGGTTTATTTTTTTGTTTTTATTTTTGCAGTATTGGGATGGAACTTAGGGTCTTTACATTGTCTTTTACATCCCCAACCCTTTTTCCATTTAACTTTTTTTTTCCATTTCTTAACTTTTGAGAGAGTGTCTCTCACTAAGTCTCTAAATTGCTGGGGCTAGGGTCTAATTTGATATCCTCCTGCCTCAGCTGAGTGCTGGGAATACAGGTGTTGCCACCACACCCAGCCCTGTTTTGTTTTTTGTTTTTTGTTTTTTTTTAATGACTAAAGTCTTTACTTGTAAATGATTACTGATACACCAAATAATAAGTAACAAGTTCTTGAGTCCTACCATCTAGTGAATTTTTGTTTGTTTTATTTTGATTTGAGAAAAGGTCACACTATGTAGTCCAGGCAGGCCGGGATCTTACTATGTAGCTCAGGCTGACCTCAAACTCATGATCCTCTGCCTCAGCCTCCCAAGTGCTAGGATTACATGTGTGCACCCCCACACCCAGCTCGTCTAGTAATTTTGGTTAAGATAAACTAAGTGCAACACAAGCAAGTATACTAGTATTCGCTGTTCTAATCCTTCCTCAAAATATACCACTTTAAGGCTGGCTGCTGCATCATACAAGTTACAAATGACTTACTAATTTTTAGTAGGTAAAGCCCCTGACCTTCAAGAAGGTGTAAGGGGAAAAAAGTTATTTAATCCCTTCCTTTCTTTAAAGAACTGTTTGTTCTTTTTCTTACTAAATCAATGAGTAAAACAGTCAACACTGATATACATGTTGAGCCTAATAAGGTATAGGAAAACAGACAACATATACTCATTAAATTCTAAGAAATATGAGATAAAAAGACGAAATCTTTGGAGAAAGTACTGTTTGCCCAAAGAAGCTAGATATGCTACTCTCCAAAAACTGAAGGGAACTATTATATAACATAAATAATGCATTTTATAAGAACAGGAATCGACTTTGCTAAAGCTTCATTCATATTCCATGAAAGCATCTACAATGCTAATCCACAGAACAGGCACTTCTTTCTTCTATCCATTGATGCGGTAGTTTTCATGGATTTCTGGCCGGATGTCGCAAAGGCCAAGAGGTTATCCAGGACTTCTTCGCTGTTCTGCAGGAAGTAGGTCTGGAGGACGGCCATCTTCTGCTGGGTCTCCTCCACTCCACTGCTGCAGCTGCGGTAGGATCCAAGGGCCGCAGCTTCCTTGGCCTTGAACTTTCTCCCTCTGCAGGCGGTACTGTTCAATCTCAGCCTGAGCTGCTTCTTTGGCTTGCTTCAGCCTCGGATTCTTTCGCCTGCGGGCCTCGGACACTTTCTCTGCGGCCCACTTCTCCGCCTGCAGCAACTGCTGGATTCCCTACAACTGGCTGGACAAGGCAACTGTAGCTCACAGAGCCAACTGAGCGGCCTAAAACCGGAGGAACCACACCTCGGATCCGCTGACCATCCACCCACGATCTGCGCCTGCGCAGGGCCTCATTTTTAATCCGCTGCTGACCACAGGGTGTTTCCGTAGTACCTACCTCTATCACAGCGCTCACTCTGGCGATGCCCTCTAGGGGTCGCTACCTTCTGGTATTCATGATTTGGGTCTCTCCTTAGATGGGATTAGATCTAGTGATTTACCTCTTTTCTTTTCTTTTTTGTGACGTATTTCTGAGAAATGGGATACAGTAGAAATGATGGCATGTCATATCTGTCTTGCTTTTAGTGGTACTGGGATTAAACTCAGGACTTCGCACTGAGCTTCGTGAGAAAGGTTCTCACTAAATTGCAAAATTGTCTAGGCTAGGCTCAAACTTGTGATCCTCCTGCCTCCTGCCTCCTTTCAGATTGCTAGGGTTACAGGCAGGCACTACCACACAGGGCCCAGGATGTCACTTCTGAGAATGGTTTACAAAGACTAGCTTCCATCTTGGGGACCTCTTTGGCTCCGTGCTTGCTCCACATTCTAAACTGTCCTGTGGAAAGTCATATATGACAAAGAATTGAGGAGCCCACTGGACAACAGCCATCAAGAAAATAGCCTGGCTTGTGGTCCCAGCTACTTGGGAGGTTGAGGCAAGAGGATCACTGGAGCCCAAGAGTTTCAAGACAGCCCAGGCAATACCAAAAACTGGGTGTGTTAACAAATTCATTTTCTCACAGTTCTATCTTATTTTGCAGTACTGGGCATTGAACTCAGGACCTTTTGTCTGCAAGGCAGGTGCAGCACCACTGAGCTAAATGCTTGGCTTTTTTCACAGTTCTGGAAGTTAGAAGTCTAAGATCAAAATTTGAGCTGATTTGGTCTCCAGCAAGGGCCTCTTTTTGGCTTGCAGATTATGGCATTCTTGTATGTTTTCATATGGCCCTTCCTTGGTGTATATGTGGAGGGAGAAAAAAATGCAATAATATTGTTAGTGGAGTGCCAGGGTTGAGTCCCATGGTGATGAAGAATGAAACTGTGGATGGAGGAGACAGGGTGTGAGCAAATTTATTTTTATTTCTTTATTTTGGCTTTTTGAGACGGGTTTTGCTTGGTAGTTCAGACTGGCTTGAAGTCACTAAGTAGCCAAGGCTGGCCTCAAACTCATGGTGATCCTCCTGCCTCAGCCTCCCAAGTGCTGGGATGTGGCACCATACCTTGGTGTGTGGCATCATACCTTGCTTAGACTATATATTATTTAAATTTTTTCTTCATTAAAATGTTACTGCCATATTTAAAATGTTAAAATATTTACAGTGTTTAAAATATATTGGCTGAGCATGGTAGTGCAAACCTGTGATCTCAGCACACAGAGGGTGAGGCAGGAGTAACACCATGAGTTTGAGGCCAGTCTAGGTCACACAGTTCTAAGGTCAATCTGAGCTACATAGTGAAACCCTGTCTCTAAGAAAAAAAAAAGTTAGATTATTTCATAACGTACCATTGAATAACTACTGTTAAACTTCCTTTCTTTTTTTTTTTTTAGTACCGGGGATAAAACTCAGGTCCTTGCACTTGCGAGGCAGGCGGTGGAACCACTGAGCTAAATCCCCAGTCCTGAATAACTACTGTTTTCCAAAGTCTTCCTCACAGAGAGCATTTTTTCCATTCACAGTGCTTCTGAAGTCAGCTGGGAACATTGGTAAGCAAGGCCCTGGTCACTGACAGACTGTTGTTAATAAATTGTGTTGTAAAGTCTTTTCTTCTTCAGTATTCCTTACGCACTCACAAAGACCTAGCCCTCCGTGAAAGAATATTTTAAAGGAGTATCTCAGCTTTGAGAGAAAGGTGCCATGGAAATATAATATTAATAACCTTTAGAGAAAACTATCGGAGATTATTTATTTATTCTATACTGGGGATTGAACTCAGGACCTCAAAACACTGAGCTACATGCCCAGCCTTTTTAATTTTTTATTTTGGGACAGGCTTTTATTAAATTGCCCAGGCACAACTCCAATTTGTGATCCTTCTGACTCAGCCTCCCAAAGCGCTGACATTTGCTTCTTTTTTCCACCCGGCTTGGTACAGGTGATTGAACTCAGGACCTTGAGCTTGTGAGGCAGGCGCGGTGCCATTGAGTTAAATCCCCGGCCCTGCAAAGCACTATTACAGGTATGTGCCACCATGACCGTATTCATTTTTTTAAGAAAGTAGAAAAGCTGTTTTCTTTCTGTTCTTTTCAAGGCTGTTAATAGCTACTTTATAAATGCTTTTCAACGTCTGTGTAGCAGAGGCCAACTCCTGCAGGCTCTCGGCTCAACAGCTGCGGACTTCGTCGGGCCCACGCCCGCCACCACCAGTCCTCCGGGCCGCTGCACGCCTGAGACCATGCGAACTCAGTCCGCGCAAGCGCATTACACGCACGTGAGCGCGCGCCGGCCTCCCCTACAAATGAGCTTGCGCGCACACTGCGCGGGAAAAGGCACGGCGCTGCGGCCTGGGAGCAATGGAGGAAGCTGTGCAGCGGTCATTGGCGGCTTGCTCTGCGGGACTCGGGAGGGACGAAGACGCGGTGCTGCTCCTAGAAAGAGCCCATTACCGACATGACCCACGCTGGCTGCTGCCGGTGTCCCCACGCCTCTGCCTGGCCTGCGTGCTGGAGCTGCTCCCGGAGCCCGGGGTGTCGGTGCGGGCCCAACTACCTTACCCTGAGACCTGCGCTCTAGCGCTTTCCTCAACCCTAGGGCCGCCTCCGCCCGGCCCTGGCCTTGGGCAAAACTGGGCTACCCTACCCCCCTCACCCTCGCGGAGCCCCTTTCCAGGCTGGACCTGTGCCCGCGCCTGCGTTGCGTGGACGCCTGGGACTCCTCAGCGACTCACTTGCGACCCCCCCCACCCCCTCGCCATTTGCTCCCGTCTGCTCCGTTTCTCCAGGAATTAATTCAGCCTCAGCTCTGCTCCCGCCCATTTTACTCCCTCCTCAGCCTGTGGCCCAGGCACCCCATAGTGGGAGCTCCCCTCGTTCCCTCCAGCTCTCTGAGGTGTAACTGGGGAGAGGGATGCCTTGGTTTTGGGGGGTGAGGGTAGGGGGTTGCAGAGGTTGGAGACAACCGGAAGTGGGGTGAATGGGGAGCGCGTTCAAATGGGTAGAGCTGGCTCTGGCCTGGGATGCCTGTTCCCCCCCAGTTCCTTCCCGCCTTCGCAGGGAGTTTTTTTAGCTTTTGGGTGGCATCTAAGAAGAGTCTGGTGACCAGGAACCTTTTGAATATATAGGAAGGGAATTCATATCTTGGGGCAGGGGTAGGCAGGCAAGATCAGGGATTCTTAAAAAAGTTTTTTTTTTTTTTGTCTTGCTTTTATTTATACTTTTAGGTTTTCTTTTCTTTTCTTTTCTTTTTTTTTTTTGGTACCAGGGATTGAACTTGGGTCACTGTGCTTGCAAGGCAGGCAGCGGAACCACTGAGCTAAATCCCCAGCCCTATTTATACTTTTTAAAATGGTTCCAGACGCAAAAGAGCTTTTGTTTGGATTTATCCACCAATCCTTTACTGTTTCAGAAATAAAAACAAAACTTACAGATATTTATATGTGAAAATAATAGTGATTTTACTACATGTTAATTTATTGTAGTGAAAATATAAAACTGACAGTTTATCATTTTACTCCCCTTTAAGTGTACAGATCTATGGCATAAGTAAATTTAAAAATAAAAGTATTTTTCCCAAATAAAAGATAGTGCTGGCATGGATTGCAGGCCTGTAATCCCCAGCACTTGGGAGGCTGAAGCAGCAGGATCACTGCTAGTTGGAGACCATCCTGAACTACATAGCAAGACCCTGTCTCAACAAAGATAGGAGGAGGAGGGGCTTGTTTTACCTTTTGCAAGTCACTCGAATGTCTGGTTTTAAAGAAGTCAGCTGGATTCTCACTTTTTTTTTTCTTTTTGTACTGGGGATTGACCTCAGGACCTTGCTTGTGTGAGGCCAGTGGCGGCAGAAATACTGAACTAAATCCCCAGCCCTTCACTGGGTGTGGTGGCACACTCCGGTAATCCCACACTAGGGAGGCTGAGGCAGGAGGATCTCTGAGTTCAAGACCAGCCTGGGGCTACATAGTGAGTTTCAGTCTCAACCCTCCCCCCCCCAAAAAAAACCCAGCCCTTCACCTATTTTTAATTTTTAAATTTTATTTTTGGGGGGTTTTTTGAGACAGTCTCTCTATGTAGTTTAAACTGGCCTTGAACTCAGTACATAGCCCAGGCTTGCCTCTAACTCGTCGTGATGATCCTCCTGTCCTACCCTCTCATACGCTGGGATTACAGGTGTGCACTATCCTGCTGGGCTCTCATCTATTTCTGCAGCTAGTTTGTTGCAATGTAACATTATCTCTGAAAAACTCCACTGTACAGTTGTGAGAGAATAAGAGTGAAAAGGCCAAATATTTTAGTTTTATATAAAATATTTTGGGACTTGAGAGCCCCTGGAAAAGGTTTTGGGCATCATCAGGGGTGCCCAAACCACACACAGAACTGCTGAACTAGCTCATAATTTGTGTGATTTCACTGAGGCCAGGCATTCTGAGGCTACTGTTTCTGTACAGTAAGTCAGAGATGACTAAGACAGTGCAGTAGAGGAGAACATAAAAGATCATATTACTGTGAATTTAGAGGAATGGACATGTTTTGTAGTCAAGTGCTGTGCAAGGTAAAGGAAAATTGGAAAGTTTTTTGGTTTTTTTTTTTGGCGGAAACATTTGAATTAGGCCTAAGCAGACAGTTAAGCTTTGGTAATGAGTATGAGAGATAAGTATGACACCTAAATGGTGTTTGAAGGGAAATTGAAGGAACTGAGTTTGCAAAACCAAGTTGAGATCAGTACCTTGAAATGTTTAAATCTGAACAAGGGAGCTTGAACTTAATATGTCTGCAGAAGGGAAGTTATTGAGATATTTTTTGTAGCACATTTAGATGAATAGTTTAAGCTATTATGTAGATTGAATTGGTGAGGGAAAAACAGGAGACTCAAAGTAGCATAGATTAGCGGCAATAGGACATGCAACTTTAGGGCCAGGGATTTAGCTCAGTGATGCTGTGCCTGTCTTGTAAGCACAAGGTTCTGAGTTCAACCCCCAGTACACACACACACACAAAAAAAAAAGACATGCAACTTTACCTTTTTGTTGAATGTACTTTTCTCAACCTCAGTTCTCATCTGTTGAGATGAAGTAGGTGGTTGTACCTGTGATCAGGTCCTATTCTCAGTGTTCGCCTCTTTTTTGACCTAACTTCTCATTGCCTTGAGCACCTTTCCAAGCTGTGATTCAGTTCTTTGTGTAAGGAAGTAACTTGAATGTAAGGATTTATGCCCAAATTGAACGGAAAAATATATTTTCCGTGCCTGTTTCTGTGAGACTCGTGAGGAATCCCCAGGTGAAGTGGAAAAAGCACTGACATTAGGCAATATCTGGTTGGGGACTTAGATTTGAGTCCTTGGGGAAATGTCTGAGTCTCTCTTTCCTCATCTCCTAAGTGGTGACCGTGTATATTTTTGCTTGCTTTGCCATCTTGTTAGGTTTAAATAAGCTGGTAGACAAAGGAGTGATTTGTGAAGAGTAAGGTACTATGTAAATATAGAGTAGGAACCTCAGCTCACATATACTTCTGTATGAGCACATGAATTCCCTACTACAAATGATGGTTTTGTCCAGGCTTTCTATAGGGAACACTGCAGTTCAGATGGTCACTCTGTTTCCATCTTGTAATTATATCTTGAAATTACAATTTGGGGGAGGTTCAGGATGACTGAGATTTGGTTGTCATTGAGTTGTTCTTCATTTGTTCGAAGCTGGTCCGCAAGAAGCACGTGTTGTCCTGCTTCCGAGATGCCCTTTTGAGGCATGGCTCCCTGGTCACACAGCTGGTGGCTCAGGACCAGAGAATCTGCATCCACTTCATAAGCGTGCTTTTTGGTGAGATGAAAAAGGAAACAGTATGATTTTGCATGTATAGCATTTATATTTACTTTGGGCATCTTGGGGAGATGGTCTTAGAATGATGATTTAGGTTTTTGGTATTGTAACAGTTTATTTACAGTTTTTTTTTGTTATAATGATGGAGATAAAACCCCCTTTCTAATATATAGGAGACACTTTATGGTAACTGGTCTGACTAGATATAAAAGGTGGGTAAATGGTGTAAAGATGGATGTGGAAAATGCATGATCCTTTAAAGAGTCTGATCTAGATTTTGTACAGGCTCATAAAGCCTGGAATGGAGTCTGCTGACCTCTGTGTGACCATGATCAAGTTATAGTATTAACTTTCTCCTGTTCCTTAGCTTCTTCATGTCTAAAGTGAGACGGATTGAATTTTCCTAGAGGTCTCTTCTGATTATGTGATTAGTGTCCAACAGAATGAGGATGAGCACTTTCTGGGAGGAGGGCAGCTCACTCATGTTGGGCGCCTCTCTATGTCAGAAGCTTTTCAGATTTTTTTTTCATTGCCAAGACAGTTCTTAAGGTAGAAGGATGATCCCTGAGGCTCAGGTCGTAGCAGACAAATGGCAGAGCTGGACTTTTACCCCAGATCTGTCACAGGCTCCAGAGTACACAGTTTCTCTGTTGTGGCACATTGCCAATTCTCATCTTTTTAAAGCCAGAACAGGCCATCGAAAATCTAGGTGTTTGGTACCAAGAACAGAATTTAGCTGGGATGTTATTTTAAGCTGTTAGTTTTAGAATTCACAGTTTGCCTTTTTAGATTTGTTTCTCTTAAAGGGAACTGTTAACCACCATTTTCTGTCCTCCCTTTTCAAGGACTGTTATGCAGCGTGAAAGATGGGAGTGTAACGGACCTCTGTATTGAAGGTAAGGTAAAACCACGTGCACCCAGTATTCTAAGATGAGAGTATTAGCTTGAACTGCAGTCTGGGTACTTGAGATTTTGGTGAAGTTGCTCATTTAGAAACAGAGAACTCAAGTGGCTATTACGCCTTAATAAGACACGTACAAAACTAGAGATTTGTGTGTATTTGTTCTTTGCGGAACTGAGGATCTAACTCAGGGCTTTGCACATGAGAAGCAAGTACTCTTCCTTTCAGTGGCATCCCCAGCTCAATGTTTTTTATTACATTTCATGGCTTGTTTAAAGTTGTCTGCACACAGGTAGCGATTAAAGCTGTGGAAGTACTTGGGTTTACCTGTAAAAGCTGTAGAGAAAAAGCAGAGAGAATGAAGCCTACATCACTTGGGATCCAGAGGCCGTACCAGTGGCAGTATTTGAACAGAAAAAGAAAATATGAAAGAATTATTAAATAGGTATCTGAAGAGACAAAAAGAGAAGAACCAAGTTTTCATGGAGATAGCAATTACAGAAAGCAGCTTCCATTCCTGGGGCTGGAGAAACAAAAGGAAGAGGTTGGAATTGTTAAAAGCCCAAGTTTGTTTATTTTTTTTTTTTTTTTTTTTTTTTATTTTTTTTTTTTTTTTTTTTTTTTTTTTTTTTTTTTTAGACAGGATTTCACTATGTAGCTGATACTGACCTGGAACTCACTGTGTAGCCCAGGCTGGTCTCGAACTCACAGTGATCCTCCTTTCTCAGCCTCTCGAGTGCTGGGATTACAGGAGTGTGCCGCCACGCTTGGCTAAAAGCCCAAGTTTGTAGGAGGAATCCCCTCTATGAAACTCAGATCTCTGAGGAGGAGATGCTGCTTGGAGGCTGCTGCGCCTCTGGGCTTGGAAGAGGAGTCCCGTGGGCCTGGGATCCAGACATCTGAGGAGGGGCACTGGCTAGGTGATACTGATGTTTCTGAGAAAGAGGGTTACAATAAAGGTGGTTCTGGAAAAACTGCAAACCCAATTCAGCTGCTGTTATGGAAAGGCACTGCTACTGCCAGGTAAAGATGTGTTACAGTAACATTCATAGGGATAGGAAGAAGACAGTAAGCAAACAGGAAATCTGGAGGAACCACAGAGGATGGAGCAAGTCCTACAGCCTTGCTATCTCTTTCTAGTGCCTTTTATTGCCAGAGCTTAATAGAGACCAGCTGGTAGAACAAATGTGGCTTGCATAGTATTAGTGTCAGAATCCCAAAGCACAGTGTAGAGGATGGGTTGGAGCTGAAAGACAACAGCATGATAATTCACTGTTCATCCCATTGGCTAGCTGGTATCCGTATCCCCTTCTGCACATATTTGAACTCCCCTAGAACAAAAAATGAGGTACCTAATGAGGCACTACTTTCCTTTATACATGCTACCAACAAAGCACTGTTCAATAAATTATATTCATTTCTGGAAAACACTCATAACATAGATCTCCGGAGTAGGATAATTAACTTTCAAATTCAGTCACAGTCCCATCTGAATGTTCTGTTACCTGAAAGAACCTTTTTCTTTTTGGTACTGGGGATCAAACTCCGGTCTTTGCGCTTGCAAGGCAGGTGGTGGAACCACTGAGCTAAATGCCCAGCCCACGTGAAAGAATCTTAGTCAACCTCCAACAAAATTTATAAAATAATGAGAAGGAAATGAAGACAAAGAACAATACACACGCATACAGAGCTGTTATAATCTTCATTTATATAAAAGTTACTAGCTGGGCATGGTGGCGCATGCCTGTAATCCCAGCACTCGGGAGGCTGAGGCAGGAGGATGGCTGTGAGTTCAAGTCCAGCCTGGACTACATAGTGAGTTCCAGGTCACTCTCAACTACATAGTGAGTCCCTGTCTCCAAAAAAAAAAAAAAAAGTTACTATTTATAAATTCCTTCCTTTTCTGCCACTTCCTCTTCTTTTTTCTTTTTTTTGTCTTTCAACAGGATCTTGCTGTAATAGCCTAGGCTGGCCTTGAACTTATGGTCCTCCTGCCTCAGCCTCCTGAGGGCTGAGATTACAGGTGTACCATACCCAGTTTTTAGTTTCTAAATGAATGATACCATTCTATCTATCCTTTGCCTTCAAGCTGTATCTTTTTTTTTTTGTTGTTGTTACCAGGGATTGAACTCAGGCCCTTGTGTTTGCAGGGCAAGCAGCGAAACCACTAAGCTAAATCCCCGGCCCCTCACACAGTATCTTAATTGGTCAAGGTTTTTACCTTGCTGGGTACCCCAAAACTATTCCTAAAAGTTTTCAATCTTTAGTGTCTCTGCTTTTTGTGGTTGCTAAAGTTTCCATTAAGTTTTACTATTGGATATAGAAGTAATAACAGGCAACTTAGATCGTCCTTGGTTGCAGATGTAGTCCTCTCTGCCCTTTTTAGGTAGCAACAAAATTTCCCTGTAAATATGAGATCACTCCTGGTAGTAGAATAATCCCTGCTTTCCTCTATTGATTCAGTGTTAGGGCTTGAGAAGGCAAACCCATGTTAAAAAATACATGTCTTTTTCCAGCGAGGACAAATCTGTGCCCCTCCATAATGGAATGGGCAGTGTATAATTCATCTGACTTGCTCATCCTCTCAGGGAATGGTGTCATACTGGGGCTCAGTGTATGTTTCTGCTGTTGGCAGGATAGGCAGGAGCAGTACTCTATTCAGCCTTGGTGAGAGGAAGTCTGTAATGTTGAGCTCATGCTTAGCCTCCAACTCTGTCACTCAGCCACTTTGTACATGGATCCATTGGGTGAGAGGGGGGTGGCTGTCAAAAGATGAAGACTGATATCTACAGCGTGTCATTTAGTTCACCTGATTGTTCAGAACTCCTTTATAGTAGATGTTACTTAGGAAGCATTCGCGTGGGACACAGATATTGTTGTACTTTGTGCCTGTTCAGAGAGATCCTTTTTCTTTCTAAGGATTCATTGTCACTGATCTAGTTCTGTTTTTCTCACATTCAGGACAAACCAGCCAGTTAGCAGCTATTCATTAATCAGTGTGATCTGTGAATATTTCTGACCAGTGCATATTTCTCTCAGTTCAGGCAAAAATATGTGAACAAACATATTATAGCACTTGAAGTTCTGACCACTGGGGGATTTCGCTTCATCATTTTCCTGCAGGGCCTCTGAGTGGAACTGTAATCCTGCAGCCATCCACTTCTGGTTGATGCCTACATAGCTTGAATCATCATCAGACCACGATGAGCACTTCACTGAGGTGGCAGACATTAGAGGGAGACGGCAAGGGTGGAAGGAGAAGGATTTGCTGCTTCCTTAAGGTTCCTGTTTGCTTGCTGGCTGCTTTCTGTTTCTCGGTGTCTTGTCTTACAGTGCTGCTTTACCTGGCAGCTCTTTCCCACAGGAGCTGCAGGATGTAGTTTGCAACTTTTCCAAACTTGCAGAGCCAATGTCATTTCCACTTCTCAAAGACACTAGCAGAAACACCACAAATGAATGTGTAGAAGGGTAGATTTGGGGCTGAGAGATAATATCTTAAAACTTGGCAAAAGAATTTACTCATATTTTTTCCTAGTATGTAAAGGAGCACTCCAAAAAAGGAAAGAAGTAGAGAGAATACAAAGTAGCTTTCAACCTTGCTTCACGATAGACTTAAGAAGTTTAGAAGTGTACTTAAATTTTATATTTAGAACACTATTTTGAATATAAAAATATATATGAGATATATGTATTTAAGCATAAAACATTTATATTTAAGTATATGCATATATATATATTTTTAAAATTTTTTTCTGGTCCTGGAAATCAAACTTAGGACCTTGTGCTTCTCGGTAGGTACGGTGTTAAATCCGGTAGCCACTTCTCGGTAGCCACTGAGTTAAATCCCTAGCTCTGTATTTTAAAACAAAGATTCTGATTTAATTGTTCTGGGGTGGGACTTGGACATTAATATTTTGTTAAAGCTTCCAACATGATTCTTTTGTGTAGCCTGAGTAGAGAACTACTAATATAAAACAATGAAGAAGCCAGAAATCCTTTTGTTTGGATTCGGGCACGTAGTTTATTGGGAAAGAAAAAAATACCAGTTATCACAGTGAACCACCGTGAAAGGTGAGTTCTGGGTCAGAGAGTGTCTTCTGGCCAGTAATGCTGCTGTACATCCTCAGTCCTCGTCCAGCTTACCATGCAGCTGAAGCTGGAGCAGATCATCCATTGCCTGCTGGATGAGTGTCACAAACAGGTCAGTGTGTGTGCGTGGGTGTGTGTGTCCAGTACTGAGGATCGAACCTAGGGCTTTAGCACTGAGTCCCCAGCCCTTCTTTTATTTTTTATTTTGAGACATTGTTTTGCTGAGTCGCTAAGTTGCCCAGGCTTGGCTTGAATTTGTGATCCGCCGCCCAGGGTGTTGAGATTATAGGCATGTACCACCATGCTCAGATTACGTGTGGGTTCTTGAGGCCCCTCACAATCCTTAGATTCTGTTGGAGCTGATCCAGTTCTTCTCTGAATAAATGGGAACTGGAAGTCCAGAGGCTCAAAGGGACTTGCCTGAGGTTGTCAAGTTGGTGGCAGACCAAGAGCTAGGGTCTGGGGCTTCTGATCCTATGCCATTATTCTTCTCAGCTTCCTTCCTTCCTTTTTCAGTCTTCCAAATGCAACTTCCACGTGGTAAAGCCCCATCTTTCAGGCTTAATCATCCCATGGCCCACTGGTATCATACTAAATACAATATAGATTTCTTTGTTGAACTTGTCAAGAAAGTATATTCACTATGTTTCAGTTTTGTTTGTTTGTTTGGTTTTTTGAGACAGGGTCTCACTATGTAGTTGAGACTGACGAACTCACTATGTAGCCCAGGCTGGTCTCGAACTCACAGGGATCCTCCTGCCTCAGCCTCCCAAGTGCTGGGATTATGGGATTACAGGTGTGCGCCACCATGCCCAGATAAAAATAAGGTTTTGAATAGTATAAATTACTTTGTACTAAAGGTATTTGTTTTAATTAACATCTAAGATAAACATAAAATGGATATTTCAATTCACTTTAATATAGTAGAAATTATATCAGTTACACAGTAGCTTTCATTTAGGATTGAGAAATATATAATATTTATTTTGCAAAAGAAAGACAAATGTTAATCAGGAACAATATTTAGCATGAGTTTGTATGATTCTCTGATGTGGCATGTACTTTTTTTTTTGGTACTGGGGATCGAATTTGGGCCCTTGCACTTAGGAGGCAGGTGGCAGAACCACTGAGCCAAATCCCTGGCCAGCATGTACTTTTATTTTTGCTTTTTACCCTCTGTTTTTCTTTGTTTGGCCCAAGTTCTCTCTGCAGAGCTGGTTTTTCCCATACCTATTTACCCTGCATTTTTCAAATAAACTTTTTGGCACTGTTAAAAAAAAAAGCAATATTTAATCATAAACTATATGTAAATTATATCATTGTAATTATTTTGCATGTGATTACTATATCTGATTGAATTTATAATTAAATATATCAGTTGTTGTTTTTAGCTTTCTGAGATAGGGTCGTTTTATTTATTTATTTATTTATTTATTTATTTATTGGTACCAGGGATTGAACTCAGGTCCTTGTGCTTTCAAGGCAGGTGGTAGAATCACTGAGCTAAATCCCTAGCCCTGAGACAGGGTTTTGCTTTGTAGTTCAGGCTGGCACTGAAACACTGTGTAGCCCAGGCTGACCTTGAACTCATGGCAGTCCTCCTGCCTCAGCCTCCCAAGTGCTGGGATTACAAGCATGTGCCACCACACCTGGCAACTATTTAACATTTATTGAGCATTTTCTCTATGTTAGGCACTGGTAGGTACTTTACATGTAATATTTGATCCAGTCCTGCCAACACTGCTGTGAGAATGGTGCTATTAAATTACTTTCCACGAGAAGAGTTAGGAATCTTGCCCAAAGTGGTGCAGCTAGTCAGTAGAAAAGGTGAAATATATACTTTGCCTCTCCATGTAAAACATCAAGCATAGTGTCTTCTGCATAGAGTGTTCGATAATAGTAGCTGTGACAATAATAATGATAATAAATTGTTTTTACACTGAGTCAATGTTCTGTCTTTATGATGTTCCCTATAGTCTCCCTTGTTTCTGCTTCTATATGCAATTTTAATTCAGTTTAATAAGCTTGTACTGAGCTATATAGTGACCACTCTGAAAAGAATTTGACTCAGTCTCTATCTCCTGGGAGTCCCACTTGAATGAGGGAGATGGATGCTTAGTTTAAGAAGCTGACTGTGTTGAAACATGTGCATAACGCAGGTGTTAGTAAGGTAGGGCGAGACTGGTTTTGGTGGGAAAGCTGTGCTGATAATAACTGACACAGTAGTGTGTGTTCACTTTCTGTAGCTCTGTAACATCCCCTCCATGCAAGACGGCCTGGCCACCCTGACCCTTCTTGGCAAGTTGGTGGATGCCATCCCTGTTCTGGCTGACGAGCTTGTGAAGGAGCATGGTGAGTGACTGGTGTGGGACAGCCTGCTTTGGGTACACTGCCATCTGGGTGGCCCATTCACTGACTGGGAAATCATTACTTCCCTAGCATTCATTTTCCCCTTATACACAATATGCTTCTTGTTGGTCCATTTGAAAATATCAATTTTTTTTGTTTTGTTTTGTTTTGGTTTTTTTTGGTAACAGGGATCAAACTCAGGACCTTATACTTGTGAGGCAAGTGTGCTGCCACTGAGCTAAATCCCCAGCCCTGTAAGTTTTTTTTTTTTTTTTTACTGTGACCTTGCGATGTTTCTATTCATTCTTTTAACACAAAGTAAGTGCTTACTATGACCTTCCTTTTGCATGGAAGAATTAATTCTGAAGCATATAAGTACTTTTTTTTTCTATCAGTAAGATGCAAATAAATATCTTTTTTTTTTTTTTTTTTTTTTTGGTACCGGGGATTGAACTCGGGTCCTTGCACTTGCAAGGCAGGCCACCGAACCGCTGAGCTAAATCCCCTGCCCCCCCCCTTTTTAATAAATATCTTTTTTTATCCAAGAATAAATCATTTAACTTCTCAAATCTTTAACTTTCTCTTGGTAAGCCCTTAGAAGAACTGTAGGGGTTGTAAGGAATCACCACTATGACTTCATGGGGTAATTTTGGAGTTTGATGTGGCATTTGACATTGTGATTGTTCTCTCTGCTCCTTGGTTGTTTTCTGGACAGGCAACTTGATAGAGCATCTGATGAGAGGCATGGTGTACCCCAGTGAAGGGGTGCAAGCTTCTGTCTGTTACCTCTATGGAAAGCTCTATGCCTCCCCAGTGGCAGCTGAGCTGCTTTCAGGCCATTTCCGGGAGAAGCTTTGCCCTCTCTTCCTTTCCACCCTGGACAGTGCCCAGACAAAGGAGCTGCAGATCAACTGCCTCGGTAAGACTTGGGGTTGAAAAACACAGAAAACTTTGGAGGTGTTACTTGAGGACTCTAGTGCTGGCTGCTCTATTGGTGGGACCTCTCTGGAAAGGACAGAAGCCACCAGTTTGGAGATAAGGTATACAGACTGTGAAAGATGCTTAGAGTCAAAGTGGCATTTTAAGAATGTTTCATTGGGGAGGAAAAGAGGAAAAAAAGCGAGACAGCAGTTTTTCTGCCTTGGATCTTCACTGCCTGCCCCTCTGCACCCTGTAGTTGCTGCCCGGTTAGTCTTTACACTATATAGCTTATATCTGCTGTGTAGTCACTTTCCCCATTAGAAAATATTCCATGGCCTCCAGGGTAAAGTCTAGGTTTTTCTACTTAAAATTATTTAAAGCTCTTTAGGAGCCTTGGTATACTACATTTCCAGCCTTTTTTTGTCCTGCTACTTTCTTACATAAATACACAAGCTCTATTAAATGCTTCTGAGCAGGGAGCTTTCATATTTTATTTTGTTTTTTGGTGTTGGGGCTTGAGCCCAGGGCTTTGTTCATGCTAAGCATGTACTCCACACTGAGCTACACCCCCAACTCCAGTTTTTATATTTTAGACAGAGCAGATGGGCACTGTGATTGTTGTCTGAGAGAAGCATAGTGATGGGTGATAACAGCTTTTCATAATTCGGGTCAACAACTGTATTATGATCAATCAAACCATAAGCTCTATAGCGAGTGTTTATTCTGGACCAGATTCTGCAGTGGGCTCTGGTGTCACAAAGATGATGAGACCCAATCTCTACCCTGGGCGAGTTCACAGGCCAGCTTGAAAGACAGTCGTAAACAGTGTGGCAAGTGGTGTCACAGAAGCGCAGCAGGTGTAAAGCATCCCGAATATGTGGTATTTTGAAATAGGGCAGTATTGGAGTTGGAACTTATTAGAGCTAAATGTGGCAATAAGGGACCTAAACTGAGGACCTGGAAAGTCTCCAATCTTTCCTGGGCATAGCATAGGGAAATCTTAGCTGGTGATACTGGGAATGCCCCTTTTTAAATACCATCTCCTTTCTGGAGGGTTTCCTTCCTCCTCTTTCCCCCCAGCCAGCTGTGCAGTCACATCCTTTGAGCAAGTACTATGAGTCTTATATTGTTATATATTTTCATGATCATTTAGCCTTTTTTTTTTTTCCTGGTTTTTTGAAACAGGGTCTCACTATGTAGCTGAGACTGACCTAGAACTCAGTACATGGCCCAGGCTGGTCTCGAATTCAAAGTGATTCTCCTGCCTCAGCGTGGGAGTGCTGGGATTACCACCGCGCCCAGTCCATGTTCATTTAGTTTTAAAATACAGGATTGTAAGATCTTTGTGATCTAATCTTTATTGACCTCTTCTGCCTCATCTCTTATCTCCCCTTTTGTCCCACTCTATATGTAAAATTTGGCCTTTCCAAACCAAATACCTCTCTGGACTCCAGAACACACCAGACTCTCCTGCCTTTATGTACTCTTTTCTCAGCCTGGAAATGGCTTGCTCAACTATTCATCATTCAAGATTTGTTCAGATTGCTTTGCCTTTCAGAATTCTTCCCTGAGGCCTCAGATTGGATTAGATCTTTTCCCTGATTTCCCACAGCTCTCTGGGCTTTCTTTTTCACATTATTTATCATTCATTCATTCGTGTATTCATTTATGCATTGATTCAGTCATTCTGCAGTACCTGAGATTGAACTGAGTGCCTCTTACATGCTAGGAAGTGCTGTACCATTGAGCTACATTCCCATCCCAGCTCTTTTTTTTTTTTGGTACTAGGGAGAACTTGGGTTAGGAAGTGCTGTACCATTGAGCTACATTCCCATCCCAGCTCTTTTTTTTTTTTTGGTACTAGGGATTGAACTTGGGTCCTTGTGCTTGCGAGGCAGGTGATAGAGCCACTGAGCTAAATCTTTGGCCCAATAATATACTTTTTTGGAGTGTGGAGTAGCAAGTATCGAACTGGGGTCGTTGCTCTTGTGAGGCAGGCGGCAGAACCACTGAGCTAAATCCTGGCCCTGATTCCCAGCCCTCTTTTTCACAGTATTTAGTATCAGTATTTAATATTCTGACGTGCAATATTTGTTTTCCTCTTGGTTAAATTATATAGAATGCTGTGCTGGGCCTGGTGTTGCACACCTGTAATCCCAGCACTTGAGAGGCTGAGTCAAGAGGATCACTGAGAGTTCAAGGCCAGCCTTGGTTACATAATGAGCATAGTGAGTTCAAGGCCAACCAGAACTACATAGCAAGACCTTGTCTCAAAACAAACAAAGGATACTTTAGTGTCTTTGTATGACTTCCAGAATCCCTGACATTGCTGATATGGTCTTTCATAGTATAATTATTTCTCAAACGTCATTTCTGGACCTCTCTACTTTTTAATCAATTACTTTGGCTTTCTTTAGTGTCTGGACTGCTGTTCCTTCTACCTGGAATGCTTCTCCTCCTCCTTTCAGCTTTAACTTGCTGGTGAAACATTTTACTGATCTCCACACTAGGTTATAGAGTCTCCTATGTACACTCTCATGTGTCTGGCTATTCCTCATCTATGTGATTCACCAAAATTTTAAGCAGTCATTTGTGTGACCTTTTTTTTGCCTCTTTTTGAGACGGTGTCTTGCTATAATTTCCAGGCTGGCCTTGAAATTCCTGGGCTGAAGTGATCCTCCTGCTAGCTTCCCAAGTGGCTGGGAATATAGGCACGTGCCACAGCATTGGCTTTGTGTGACTTATTTTTATGTCTGTTTCCCCTGTGGGAGTCTGTGGTCCGTTTTTCAGTCAAAAATTTTTGTGTGTGAGGAGCCACACCAGGTGACAAATGATGTGAAACTGCCGTTATCCCTGTCCTCATGAAACTTAGAGTTAGTGGGGTGGTAGGGGCTTTGCTTACTTTACTATTGGATTCCCTAGCCCAGGGATGGTGAACGTTTTAGAGCTTTCAGTGATATAAACAGTCCACCGTGGCACATGTGCCTTAGGTTTGCCACCACTGGCCTAGACTCAGGCCTAGGACTTAGGAGATTTTCATCAGATCCTTTGGGAGAGAGTTGGTTTAGAAAGAATGAACTGGTACTTAAGGGTTCCCACCATTCTTTTATCTACAGAGACCCAAAGAAGTTTCTCAGGAGGTGGATGAGGTGCTATCTTGGGAGGACTCTCCCGTCTATGCTCCTCCCACCTCACTCCCAACCTGTTGCTTCCTAGGTTTGCTGAGACAGCTGCTGAAGTATGATCTCTTTGTGTCTATGATCATGAACAAGTCCATGCTGCCAGGAAATTCTGAGAGTGTCGAGGGGCCATCAGGAGAGACCTCACTTCCTTTGGTGCTCAAAAAGGTAGTTTGTCTTGTGATTTTTTTTTTTTTTCATTATAAGGGATTGAACTCAGGGTCTTTGTACTGAGCTATATCTCTTGTCTTGTGATTCTTGGTCCCCAGGTTCAGTAACAAGAGAACGCAAGTACTTCCTGGGCCTTGTTCTTATCTGTAGGAGACCAAATATTCATATTCTCAGAGTTGTTTTTGAGCCTAACATAACCACCTCCATATTTACATCTGAGTCACCTCACTGGCACAGATGTGCCAATGACTGTACTAATGGCGTTGCTCATTTAATGACCTAATCTGTTACATAACAACTGTATCTCATCATAACTGTTACTGTACAATATGTTTCTCCTTTATCATTTTATGATTAGCCACTTCCTCTTACAAATTTGTGGTTTTTGCCTTTATATACTGCTTGTGTCTGCAAATAAACGAGACCTTGACAACTCTTTGCTTGGTCTCCTTCTCTCTGCGCCTCTCTTGTCCCATTTCCAGGTATCTCCCCTTCTCGAGCTCTACTAATTACAAGCCCTGCTGGCCGGGGCACTTATCTGCCACTCTTTGCATCTCAGGTTTCCGAAAGTGTTATCTTACTAGTCAAAATAATATGCTATAAGGCCAGCCAGGGTGGCACATGCTTGTAACCCCAGCCCTGGGAAGGGCTGAGACAAGAGGATCACTGTGAGTTCAAATCCAGCCTGAACTACATAGTGAGAACCTGTCTCAAAACAAAACAAAACACCCAGCTCTGAAATTGGAGAGTATTTTACTATCAATGGTGTGTCATAATTTTTTGGGGAGGTGGTTTTCAGACAGGGACTTGTTATGTATTTCAGGCTGGCCTTGAACTCACTATTTAGCCCACACTGGCCTCGAACTCACTGCGATCCTCCTGCTTCAACCTCCCAAGTGCTGGGATCACAGGTGTGCACCACCACACCTGGTGGTTTGTTGTAATTTAACTGGTACATAAAATAATACTTGGTCTTACATCAGTAGTGTCTCAGTGTAAAATACAGTAGGTTATTTTGTTTAGAAAAGAGAACAAAATAAAAATATCTAAACTTTACAAACAAATAGAAAGACTTTCTCGACTTGCAAATCTGATGTGGTTGAGATAGTTTAACTCTGCAGTCATCAGATGGTTCTCTCCCGGGCATGAATATGACTTGGTCTTTTTCCTTTGATGCTCTAAAACCAAGCACGCTCTTCCTTTATGTCCTATTGGGCATTTACCCACAAACTATCAGTTTCTATGATACTTAAAATCTGTGGTTGCTGTTAATCTTTTTTTGATTTCTAAAAGTGTTATGGGCTCTTCTAATGGCTGTGAAGTCCAGTAGGGGTTTGGGTGTTATTCAGAGTGCAGTGAAAGTTCATTGAGATGTTTTGAATAGAGGAGTAATCTGTTTTATCTCTTCTTTTCTCTCTTTTTTTTTAATACTGGGGGTTGAACCCAGGGCCTTCACACTGACCTGTATCCCCACATCCCCTTTTTTATTTTTTATTTTGAGGCAAGATCTCACTGAGTCACTAAGTTGCCCAAAGGCTGGGCTAGAACTTGTGATCTTTCTGCCTCAGCCTCCTGGAGTGCTGGGATTGTAAGCATGCACCACCATGCCTGGACTGATCTAAAATTTTAATGGGCAAAAATAAAATTTTAACGTGGGAGTCATCTCAGTTGTGGGAAGACTCCTAGATATGGATTTGGCTGACCTAGATTTCTGCCATAGCTTTGTCATTTTTTAGCTATGTGATATAGAGTGATTTAACCTTGAGAAGGGTCCCCAAGACCACTCTCAGGCTTGATAATTCTTGGGGAGGACTCACAGGATTCAGCATATAGTCATTCTCATTTCATAACAATGAAAGGCTACAAAGCAGAATTGGAGAAGAGCAGAGGCACATGAGTGAAGTCTAGGGGAAATCAGGCCAAAGTTTCCAGAGCCTTTTTCTTTTGGGTCACACAGGTTGCCTGTAATTCCTGCAGCAAGGCGTTGTGACAACATGTGTGAAATGTGGCCTACCTGGGATGCTCATTAGAGTTTCGATGCCCAGGGTTTTTATTGGGGGCTGGCTGGTCATGAAGGCACCCTCTGTGTAGCACATCCTCAAGTTCTAGACTCCCAGAAGGAAAGCAGGTGTAGCACACAGTCTACATTGAACAAATAGTCATGGCACACTCATCACTTCTGGCCGGGCATGGTAGGAACCCTCCTGAAATCTAAGCTCCTAAACCTACTGAAGGCTCCATGTTGCACAAGCCTTTCTAAGGAAAAAAGACTCAGGCTTGCTGTGTTAACTCTTTTTTTATACATTCAGTAAAGTGAAAATTATAATGGAACCTTCCTACATATTGACACAGGATTGTTGAAAATAGCAAGCCCAGATGGGAATTGTGAAAGTGTTTTTGACATACAAGGGCCTGAGTACTGTTCTGTGGTAGTTTTGGTGTTTTTTGAGTGTCGTCGGTCAATTTTACATTATATTCTTTCATTCCATTTCTCACCTGTACTGTTCACAGATACTCCTTTGCATGATCTGTAACTCTTCCCCTGTGCTGTCCTGTCTCGTGCTGCGTAGGGAGGAATCAGAGTTGAATTAGGTTCGGGCCAGGTCCTTGAGTCCTGTAAGTGATGTGACTGAGTTGCTTTCTGCTGCTGTTTTTCCAGTTTCTTCTCTCTAGAGACGAGTTCCTGCAGGTGGCCAGTACCCACTGTATAACTTCAGTGCTGGTCCACTCCCCAGTGAAGCATGCTGCGGCCTTCATCCATGCTGATGTCCCAGGTAGGAGGCGGTCTCCTGACCTTCCCTTCTGAGGATCCCAGAGTTCTGCCTGGATTCTTGAGAGGTCACTGCAGTAGCAGCAGTGCTGTCTGGGAGACTTTGATAACTCACCCTGAAGGGAAGGGATGGGGGCAGACAAGGCCATGATGTGAAGTGGGCTTTATAGTATCCACATCCTCTGGCATCAGACGTCTTGACTGACTTTGAGCAATTTTTTACCGATCTTTGTCATTTTTTTTTTTTAACCTTCCAGGAGCAAAATCCTAGTGTGAGGTAGGGGTCTGGAGACTAGGAAGGCGAAAGAAACTAATGTTTCCCCAAGGCCTCTTAGGAGCCAGGAAACATACCCTGAGGTACTTGTGTTACCACATTTAGGTCCTCATCTTTGTTGGTTTTGTTTTTTGGGGTGCTGGGGATCAAACTCAGGATCTTGTGTTCTCTTCGGGAACACATATGCTAATAACCTAGGACCTTGCGTGTGATAAACATGTTACCTCACTGATCTTTATCTCTATCCCGTCTTTGTTATTTTATCAATATGGAAATTGATTTTTTAAAAGAAAAGACACAAATTATTATGTACATGGAAGCAGTGAATTACCTACCAGCCTAATATGATTATGTACCGACTTTTCTATGGGAACTATGGGCATATGGAGTTTTGAAGGGGGAAAAAAAAAACTTTCAAATACATAAGGCTAGTTATTAGCAGAGATCAGATATATAATCGGGTCTCTCCAACTCTGAAAACTTTTTTTCTGCATCATTCTGCTGCCCATCCTAAGAATTAGAAGACCTAAGTTCCAGACCTATTTCTGCCAGTAAACTGCCTCTTTGGGCATTAGTTTCTTCATCTGCTAAAAAGAATTTAGACCAGACACTGAGAACATTTCCCAGATTTATCTGTGAATTAATGACCATGTCTTGTGCCGAGGCCGTATGAACAGAAGTGTCAGGAGTAACATGCTGAATAAACCTAAGTCCCTTTTACATCAATTAAAGGATTGTGATCTCAGAGCTATCATTGTTTTCTCTCCCTTTTGCCTGCCAGAGTTCATCTTTGAGCACCTTTCCTCTGCCAATGAAGTGCTTGTCTGGTCCAGCTACAGCTGCTTGATACTCCTGGTGGAAGAGCCACTCTTCTTTTCCAAGTGCCACACAGTGTATGGTTGGTAGTGTGGCTCCTGCACTGGCTCTGAGTCTGTGGAGAAGTTTGAAGTTGGGTAGCAGTCACAGTGATGAGGACTGGCCTCCACTTCGGAGGGGAGGGCTGGGTCTGGACAGTCCCATTAGTCAAGACTCATTACCAGGCTGTTGTTCTCTTCATGGTAGCCCACCCTATGCCGAAGGGTGTATTAGTTTTTATTTCTTTCTCCCTTTTTCCTACTTTTATTCAGCCCAAACTCACTCTGCAGAGCCTGTTTGTTCCTATGTTTCATAAATGTGAAACTTTGACATCACTAAAAAAAACAAAACAAAACAAAACAAAAAACTCATTAGCAGATTCCATATGTAAGCACTGATATCCAAATGGCTCTGCTGTCACTGATTAGCAGAAATATGTGTATTTAGACTCTTCAGGGAGGAATGGGCATTCCTATTATCTGATTAATGAATTCCTATTGCATATTAAGGACAACTCTAACCAGTGCTGTATGGCCTTGGCTTTAGTCTTACCAGCCCCCAGTAGCTATACATATATTTAGTTACTCCCTAAATTTTGCTAATTTGTCCTTTCAAAGTTTCTTGAAGATGGGCATACTGACACATACTTTTGACCCCAGCACTCTGGGAGGCTGAGGCAGGAAGATTACAAGATTGAGCCTGGGTTGGGCAACTTAGCAAGATTTTCTCTCAAAAAAAAAAAAAAATGCTGGGGATGTAGCTCAGAGTGAAGGCCTTGGATTCAATCACCAGTGTCTGGTCTCTCATGTGTCATCCTGAGATAGGGATCGAGGCGGTGGTGAGGAGCCTTCAGGGATGCCTAAAGATGACCAACACAGAGCTGCACAAGCAGGGCCTGCTGCTCTTTGCTGAGATCTTGACCCGGTAAGCAAAGTGACAGATTATCAGTCCTGCTGGTACCAGACTGGAGGAGAAAAAGAGAGCTTTTATTCCTCATGATAGGAGTTCACCCACTTGCCTCTCATCTACCATTACCCAGGCAGCCGGAGGAGATCCGGCTGTTCACAAGCTCAGCCATGTGTGGAGATGCTGCCCGTGCCCTCCAGGAGGCAGTGAGCAGCCCTGTGCTGGAGGTGGCCGCTGAAGCAGTGAAGGCTACTTCCGCTTTTCTGAGGTGAGAGACCCTGAACTTTCTTCCCTGCGTGTACCTGAGTGCCTGTCAAGGCCAGACAGTGTCAGGGACACAGTTTCTTGAAGTATTTTTTTCTACTGTATTTACTCTGTTCTCTTTTTGTAAATTAAAAAAAAAATGTATTATTGCTTATTAGTTATACAGACTAGCACCTTTCATTTCAGCATACTCACACTCTATTCTCTCTGGAACTGCCATCTATGTGTTGGGAATCCTAGATTAGCCATCTAATTTTGTTTTCTGACCATTTTTTCATCTTTTTGTCACTATGTACTAACTTCTGGGAGATTTTCTTGAGTTTATGCTTCAACCTTTCTGTTGAATGTTTTATAGCTGCTTTCATATTTTTTATGGATATAAATTTTTTTTTCTCTGAGGAGAGTTTTACTAACATGTTCACTTTTCTTTATAGTTTCTTTTAAGTTGATTCTATTTTTGTCTCTTTCATTTGGGGAGCTTTTCTCAGATGTCTGATGATCTTTGTCTTTTCATACTTAAAGATGAGATACTACAAAGCTCATGGGAAGTTGTTTTATGATGATTGTCAGCTGTTGGCTTTACTGAGGAAGAGCTAGCTGGACCCTTTCCTTGGGTGAACCCTGAGGTGAAGATCTGTAGTTCTCCCTTCAGGCTGGACAGATCATGAGAGGACTCTTCAGGCTCCTGTTTGAGGAAGTCAGCTTAGGAGTTTTGGGAGCTAAATGGGCTTTTCTATAGTCACAATGTGGACTTCCCTTAATCCCCCCATTTTGGATAAGTACCTCCTGCATGAACAATCTAGAAGCCCTCTGTCTGACCTTCAGAAAACAAATCTCCAGTCTCCTGCTCAGGTTTGGGGAAGGTCAGGTGCTTTGTTACATAGAATTTCAGGGAGGGAATCAGGGATCCAATTGCTTATAAGCGAATTTGGGATCAGCTTTTTGCATCAGACCTTACTCCCACTTCCAGATTTACTTAGTGCCACTAATTTTTCTGCCTCTGGTGGGGATGTGTTTTTAGGGAAAATGTTACCTTTTGGCTTGCTACTGCTGGTTTAGGATTATGCTTTCATAGAGTTGCCAAGGCAGTTACTTCCAAAGTGCTATGTTTTAGATTTATATATTTTTTAAATTTTCCTTTATTTTCAGTTAAGTGTTTATTCATTTATTCATTTATTGTACCTGGGGATCAAACTAAGAACCTTGCTCTTACAAGGCAGGTGGCGGCACCACTGAGCTGAATCCCTGGCCCTACTTTATTTTCATTTTGGTAAAGAGAGGCAGAGGCACCTGTTAGCTCCATCATCTTTATCCATAAGTTGGAAAGTCCTTTTTTTTTGGTGTTTCTGAAACAGTCTCACTTTGTTGTTTAGGCTGCCCTTGAACTTGAACTTACAGCAGCATTCTCCGTCTCAGTCTCCGGGATGCTGTGATTACAGGCATGCACCACCACAGCAACAAGAAGTTGGCACTTCTTCAATATCTTCTAGCCCTGGTTCTCTTGCTGTAGCTTCTCTTTGCATGCTGTCATCCACCCACAGAGCTTTAGCTACTAAATATATGTTCATGGTGCCCAAATCCATAGTTTTGGCTTAAGCATTAGTTTTCTGTTGTCACAGATTTAGGTGCTTAGAACAACAAAAATATATGCTTTCACGGTTCTGGAAAACTATGCAAAATCAATACTACTGAGCTGAAATCAAGGTGTCAGCAGGGTCACACTTGCATAGAGGCTCTAGAGGAAAATCTTTCCTTGCCTCTTAGAGCTGCTGGTCCCTCTAGGGGTTACTGGGCTTGTGACTATGTCACTGTACTGTGATCATGTTGCTTTCTCCTCTGTGTACGTATCTGATCGTCCTCGCCTCTTACTTGTAAGGATATCTCTGATATTCCAAAATATTCCTCTCATTTTATCTGTGAGGCCTTTGCCATAGAAAGTATGTTCACAGGTTCTAGGGGATTAAGACTTTATACCATTAGGTGCTACTGAAGTATTTTTCTGAGCTTTCCAATTGCCTGGTGCCTTGTACCAGAAACTTCAAACTCGGTCTCACCATGCTTCCAGCAGATACAGGAAAGACATTAAATTTGAGATTAAAAAATTTTGTTTGTGGTTCTGGAAACTGAACTCAGGGCCTTCACACTGAGCTATATCTCCAGCCCTTTTACAAAAAGTATTTTTAAGACAAAGTCTTGCAAAATTGCCCAAGCTGGCTTTGAACTTACAATCCTCCTGCTTCGAGCTATCAGAGTGCTGGGATTACAGGTGGGCATCACCATGCCTGTCTTCAATTTGCGATTTAAAGAATGGAATTTGAGTCTTTGGCTCCATAACTCTACTCAGTGCGGTCTTACTCATTTCTTTGGTCGTCTTTCTGATTAAGCATACCAAGCTTATTTCTTTGGTAGGACCTTTCTGTTCATTGCTTCCTCTGCCTAAAACAGTCTTCCTTGAAATCTTTGTGTGACTGGCATTTCCTCTGGTTCAAGTCTCATTTGGAATGCCCTTCTTTATCTGACGAGCTACAGCATCTAAACCAACACCTGAGAGTTCCTGTTTGCTTGTTTTGTGTCTCCTCTCTCCTACTAAAATATTAACTTCAAATCAGGGATCTTGTCAGTTTTTTCTTTGCTGTATCTGTTGTTCCTAATAGATAGTCAGTATATAAATAAACAATGTTAAAATGGATGGTGGAAAAAAATGGATGGTGAGGGCTGGGGATTTAGCTCAGTGCTTCTGCCGCCTGCCTCACAAGTTCAATCCTTAGTACCAAAAACAAAAAAAGGATGGTGAGATTAAGAGATCGTAGAGCCAAGATGGGAAATGTTTTATTAGTAAGATGCTTGAGATCTTGACAGCTTGAATTCTTGACAAAATAACCGAGAAAATTTGTACTTATTTTACCTTGTGTTCTTAAATTTTGTTTCCTATATTTTAATTTTATGTTTCTAACAGAGTAATATGTTTGAATAATAAAAAAAAATAGAACACAGCATTTTTATATGAAAGGAATAGCCTTCTAACTCTGTTTGTACTTCCTAAAGGAAACACATTTTAATTCATTTGGTTTAGTTCTGGTGATTATCTCCCTAAATCTAAACAACATATTTATAATACTTTTTCTGTGCATGTGGTACTTGGGATTGAATCCAGGGCCTTACACTGAGCTACATTCCCAGCCCTTTTCTATTTTGATTTTTTTGTTTTTGTTTTTTGTTTTTGTTTTTGTTTTTTTTGGTACTAGGGATTGAACTTGGGTCCTTGAGCTTGCAAGGCAGGCAAGAGAACCACTGAGCTAAATCCCCGGCCCCCCTTTTCTGTTTTGAGACTGGGTCTCACTAAATTGCCTTGACTTGAGCTTGTGTTCCTCCTACTTCAACCTCCTAAGTGCTGGAATTGCACACAAGTGCCACCACAGCCAGCTCCACTGTTTCTTTATCAGTTTATTAATTGATCAGACATTATTAATTGACTTGTCAGTAAGAAAGATCAAAATTTAGCTCATATTTTTTGTCACTTCTTCATCTCCTTGGGATTTTTGCTAGTTAATATTTCATCTCTTTAAGCCTTTAAATAATGCACTTATAGCTGTGTTTCCTGCCTCTTCAAGTTGAATCAGTAACTCTGGATTCCCTTTCATGTAGCACCACCTGGCTCTTCTGTTTCCCTCCCTTCTCCTTCTACTTCTCAGGGTCAGTCAGCTGTATTTTACAACATAAAGGTTGGTGAGAATAGGGGTAACGGAGGGTACACAGGCCAGTTCATCTAGCAGATTACAAGAAGGGCAGTGGTGCCTGAAGAAGCTAGAAAGCTAGATGGTTCAGAATTGTGCAGAGAGATGGGAAGGGGGTGGGTTATAGGCTCTTCTGTAAGCATATTTAGGTCTTCATCATTTGACTCCAGATTGGCTCGAAAATTTCAAAGGAAAAATAGCATTTACATGACAGTGACTTCAGTTTGTCACCTTTGTCCCTTTGTTCTTCCATGGACTTAAATCTCTAAATTTAGAGTCTGAATTGCAGGGTGGATGAGATCAGTAAACCAACAGGGTCCTGAGAGCATAGAGTAAGAGAGAGCTGGAAGTCTCCCAGTGGGTGGGTGCAGAGAGGGCCAGACGCACCTTTCAGGCACCTTTGCTGTGCTAGGAGGGATGAAGGAGGTGTGGGTTTGTAGAAGGACAGCAGGGTTAGCAGAAACATGTGGTGGGGAAGAATAGGGGTAACGGAGGGTACACAGGCCAGTTCATCTAGCAGATTACAAGAAGGGCAGTGGTGCCTGAAGAAGCTAGAAAGCTAGATGGTTCAGAATTGTGCAGAGAAATGGGAAGGGGGTGGGTTATTAATTCTTGGGTTATTTTACTTTTGACTTGACTTTAACTCCTAAGAACGTCTACTGAGGTGATGATCCCTGTGAGTTGAGCGGGTCGGAGGGTGTCTGGGAAGAATGATGAGAGAGGGCTGCTGAGAAAGAGTTAAAGATGCCGGAACCAGGGCTTGATGATCACTGAAGGAGGGGAACTTAACGTTTCCACGCTATGCGTGGTAATACATGCCCGTGATCCCAGCTACCTGAGAGGCTGACGCAGGAGGACTGAGCCCAGGAGTTCAAAGCCTGGGTAATGTAGGGAGACTCCGTTTCAAAGGAAGGGAGGGAGGAAGGGAGGAGGAAGGCCTAGAAGGCCAGCTGGCCTAACTTTGAGCTTCCAGGAATGAAGAAGGAAAAGAGCACTCAAGGGCTGGGATTTAGCTCAGTCGTTCCACTGCCTGCCTCGCAAGAACAAAGACCTGAGTTCAGTCCCCGTACCAAAAAGAAAAGAATAGAGTAATCAAGCTTAAACTATACATAGTTGGTGAAGAGCCTGTTAGAAAATCCAGCAGATCATTCAGTATTCCAAAAGGGCCAAGGGGTAAGGGTTAACAGGTCTTTCTTTAGTTCCTCTGTGTTTGGAGCTACCACGCTGCCCCTCTTTGCCTGAGAGCCTGTGTGAAGGTTCGGCAGGACACCTCCCCTGAGTCTGTTCTTGTTTCTCTGGATGCAGGAAGGACCATCAGAGTGCTCCACCTGTGCAGTACACAGCACTGCGGGCCTTGCTGGAAGCCATGCTGAGCCGGTGTATAGAGTTTTCCCAGACCTCGCTGAGCATGAGGGCTCCGGTCAGTGTATTGCAGCCTGCTTTTTCTGAAGTCCTTGTTCTGCTGTATTTTTAGAAAGATAATCAGTATGTTGCCTTACCATCATATACCATTTTATTTTTTTTCCTAATGCACAGACACCTACAATAATATTATTTTTTCCTAACTGCACTACCATGTGTCTTATTCTCACTTGTGTAGATGAAACAGAAGCCACAGTGTTTAAATAATTTTTCTCTAAGGTCCAAAATTAGCAAGTACTTGAGCCTGGTTAGTAAATCCCAAGGTGTTTGTACCCAAACCCATTTCATACTACATTTTGTTCCTTTATATCATCCAAGCAGTTATAGCAAACGTACTCATAAAATTCAGGCTGGATTTGTTAGAAAGTTAGAAAGAATTTGACCAGTATGTACTGTGTTGTAATCATTGGCTTTTAATGGCCCATAGATTTACGATATCAGGAAAGATATTATCAGTGTGAATGTTGATTATATCTTTCAGGGTGAAAATCTTCATACCTGATAGGATGGGGATTTTCTTTGTTTCAGAGCAACAATATGGACATTATAACCAGTGAGGCTAATGTCTACTAGCCTGTGACAGACTTCATACAAGAACCAGTCCTGTGGTTCTCAGGGAAATAGGAGGTTAAGATTTCACCCTCTACTCTTTTTAAAAAGCTACTGTATTAGATTTGTGAGGATATCCCGAAGATTCCCTGTTAAGTGAAATGTTTATGATTGGCAGAGTTAGAGGTCTGCAGTCATCTAAGCATAGACGGGGACACATAACAGGTACTGAACCCATAGGTTCCTCTCTCTTTCTAACCTCAGAGCCATCCCTGCAGGAGAGGAGAGTCAGAGAAGGCCATCCTTCGAAGGGGAAAGTTCCTCCTGAGCACTCTGGAAGGGTTTAGAAATGCCTGCAGGTGAGGAACCCTCTGTGGTCTGAGGGAATAGCAAGGAGGGGAGGCATGGGAGGGATTCAGACAAAGAATAATGCTGCAAGAGTGACATCTGATTTCTGATGCTCTGACGCATACTGAGAGGACCTTGGCTAGGGCTGGGTTGGGTGTGTGGGAGATTTGAGAGAGGTAACTGAGGGTAGGATGTTTAAAGATTCCATCCTGAGGAAGCTCTTGCCACTGTGCCATGAGGTTGTGTCTCATTCACCTCTGTCCTTCCTGCAGCTAGCCTAGCACATAGCTGGTCACTGAGCACTGCCCATATTAACAGATGTTTGTTCTGTCCGCTGTGTGCCAGGCCTGATGCTAGCCAGAGAAGGTAGAAAGATAAGTCAGAATGACTCCTGCCCACAAGGAGTTTACAGTCTCTTGGGGACCAGACAGTTTGGAGTATATATGTGGAATTTGTTGAGTTGTCAAGAATCCAGGGAGAGAAAGCAGCACAGGAGAAGGCAGAGATAGGTAAAATAGGACATATGGTAGTGTGGAAGAGTCATATATTATGGGGGTGTCATGAGACTGGAGGGTTAGTCAAGGACCCGTCTCACTGCCCTTAAGTCTTCTCCAGATCTGGTGGTGGGGTACTTACTTTCCATGGGTTCTGAGCTCAGGCAAATACTAAGCTGGTGTTTCTTACCCTTACATTGTGCAAATGGTGGTGGACATTCTCATATACTGATTTCTCAGGTTGGCTGTGGAATTCCAGGGTGAGCCTTTGGCCCAGGAGAATCCCTTCACAGCTCCCAGTGCGGAGAAGGAAGATACCTTGGAGGCCTTCTCAGAATTTCTTCTTAGTGCCTGTGACTCCCTATGTATCCCCATGGTGATGGTGGGTTCCCCCAAGCTGTGCACAGTGTGAAACTTGGGGAAGAGAAGAATGTGTATGCAAGCAGGCTAGAGGCACAAGGCAACAACTGCTCAGCTGGACCTTGAGGCCTGAGCTGTGTTATTATTTCAGCCACATTTCCTTTGGTTTTAAAAATAAAGTGTAGTGTTTCATTATAAAACTAATAGATGCTTCTGAAGAAAAGTAGAAAGCAGTAACAGTAAAATAATAAATAGGTAATGTTTATGATATGTTAAATGCCTTATATCCATTGCCTAATTTTTTCTTCCATATGATTCTGAGAAATGCTTGGTAGCATTTCCACTAGTTTTTCTTTTCTTCCTTTTATTTTGGTTCTGGGAATCAAATCTAGGGCTGTGCAATGACAGGCAAGCATTTTTACCACTGAGCTACATCGATAGCCCCTTTCTTAGTTTTTAGGTGAGGTTGTCCTGTCCTGCCATTACAAAGCATGTGCATGACAGTGCTGAGATTAAATCTGCAGCTTCTGGTTCCCAACCTATTCTTGTATTTTTCTGCAAGTTATGAGTAGCAGTGAATGTTTGTGTCCAAGTTTCAGTGAGGAACATGGATGAGTGTTCGGTGAAATGAGAGATGACCATTCTGAAGGGAGACCTGGTTCTGCATCGCTCTATTTAGAGCCAACTTGAAGTTGAGATGGTAGGAAGTGCAGTGCCCACAGCTCTTGACTCCAGGGTCACCCAGAGTCCCTTCCTACTTGAGGTTTGGGATCCTGTGAGCCTGTGAAGAGTCCATTAGTTGTGGAAAGGAACCTAAACACCTACTGGGAATGGTAGGTGGCAGCAAAGAACCGCTCTGACTCTGCTGAAGAGGCCTCTTTCCTTGAACGGCGCACCAGGATCTGCTGTGGCCCTGACACTAATAGTCATTGGCATCAGTTGCCTCATCTGCTCTGCCTTCTCCTTGACTTGTGGATATTAGAATTAGTCCCAGAAGTAGATCATAGAAATATTATATGATTCCTGCTTTCTACTTTTCTATATTTTATACATTTTCTTTAATGAGAATATTTTACTAATAATTTTTAAAAAGTAACAATTATAGCAATAATTATAACAATTGCAGTAATTACATACTATACAATATATAATATAATATAGAAAAAATATAACACCATTATATAATGCATATAATTATATACAGTAATTGTGTTGTATTTATATATTTATATATTGATATTAATATAGCAATTATATAGTGTTAATAATTATAGTAATAATTGTTTAAAAGTTGGTTCCAAAACCCAAGGAATGATGAGTACAAGGACAATGGCTCCGAGGCCTCAGCTATTCACGTGGGGAACTGAGATGGGTGCAGCAAAGGGCACATCAATGTGGCTCTGTCTAGGTGCGAGTTAGAACTTACTGTTTTATTATTATTATTTTGTTTTACTTTTTACCCATGGCTATTGTATCAGGCTGCCTAATGACTCTGCTGAAGGACCACAGGGTTAATAAACGTGAAGGTAGTTTGTAAAAGGTATTATTATTACTAATTGTAAGAGAAACACAAGTATCATTTTAAATTATGGTTTACAAAGCATTTTTTTACCCATCAGACCTCATTTGTTCCTGGGAGGTAGCTCTTCCTCTTCTTATTTTACTACATTTTTGAATAGAGGCCCGAGAAGACCATACATCTGGTATAACCCTAATGACAGATGCAAGCCTTAGATGTAGGGTTGTGACTTTAGACACCCCAGCTTTTCTTGGGCCCTTCAGATGAAAGGATTGGTCTCCTGCTGCTGAATTTGATGTTACTTTTTGCAGATGGCTTTTCTTCTTTAGAGGCTCAGTCTGGGTGGGCTGTGTTCTCCCTCCTGATTCTTTCAGAGGTACTTGGAGCAGACCACCCACCCAGGCTTAATGGAAGTGTTCCTCTCGATTCTGCACAGCCTCTTTGTCGTCGTCCCTCACATGAAGGAGAAGTTCTCTAAGAAGCTTGGTAGGCAGCAGGCCAGTATGGAAGGTGGGAGGGAGGCGGTACTATATATAGTGGCTCTGAGTGATCAAAGAAAGCAAGAGACAAGTGATGTTTATGTTTTAGTCAGAATCTATATTCATTCTCTGCCCAGTGTTGAGTGGAAATATGCAGCAGTCAAAAGCCGGTAAGGGAGGGCTGTCGTGAAGTCCAGGCGGCTGCAGTTCAGTGCCCACAGCATGCTCTCACACTCTATTCCTTTTTTATTTTTTTCTTGGTGCCGGAAATCGAACTCAGGACCTTGCGCTTGCCAGACAGGCAGCGGCACCACGGAGCTAAATCCCCAGCCCATCTCGTAATTTCTGAGACCTCACATGGTGTTTAGCATCTCTGACTCCTGAGCACTGAGTGCCAAATTATCCCTAGTCATTGTGACAGCTGAAAAATTTGCCCGTGTACTTCCAAGGGCCTTCCAGAGGAGCAGTGGCACTACTGTCAAGAGTCTTTTGTTGTTCCTTCCTAAACTTAAGTTTGGTGGCTTTTGATTCCTTCAGACTTCTCTAGGCCTTCTTGTTTTTTCTCTAACTCTTGCTAGTCATTTTTTCTCCTTTTCCAGGTTTTAATCCTATAAACAACTCAGTCTGCAGAGTAAGGACAAGAATCAGTCTGCTTTATCCCCTTTGAAAAGTGACAGTTGGGCCGGGGGTTTAGGTCAGTGATTCTGCTGCCTGCCTCACAAGCGCAAGGTCCCAAGTTCGATCCCTGGTAC